CCACGAAGGCAGCAAGCACCAAAGAGCCTCACCGAGCCCACAGCCCTTGCCTGCAACACCCCCCCGAGTTTTCTTTTGAACAGAAAAGGGCAAAAATCTTACTTTGATGGGGAAAAAAAACTGACATCACTTCCCACCAGATCTCTCCTTCCAACCCCACCTGGCCCAGAGGGATGTGATGCTGAGCATGCATCCCAGAGCAGCCAGGCACCCACCACCACCTCCTCCTTCTCTCCCCAGTCTCTACTAACCACCTTTGCAAACCTGGCAGCTCTCACCTGAACCCTAAAAAGCATTATTATTAGCACTTTTGACCAGATTAAAATTAAAAAAATTAAAAAATAATCCATAAAAATGTAGTATAAAAATTCTCTTCCATATGCTACAATACAGGGTGAGCACTTCTGCTGCACAAATACTTTTATTTCCCATTATGTCTTTTTTTTTTGTCTTTTTTTTGGTCTTTTTTTCCTTTTCCCCTGTAGTACAAAAGGCTGAGTTGCAGGCCTGTGCAAGGGAGGGGGGTTTTCTTCATCAGAACCTACACACCAGAAGACACAAGACCACAGACAGCCCACAGGACCCTACCAAAGCCAGCCCCTTCCTTCCCCCCCACCCCACCACACACAAACCCTACTTGTTAGCAAACTCGGCTTTTAAAAAAAAAACTGTATTTTAAAGGTTATCAATTCTAATTTCTTTACTTTCATTTGAATACAAAACACATAAGTTGCTATTATCTTTCGTGGCTCCCTGAGCTGAATTTACTATGCTTTCTTTGAAATCACTCCTCATTGCTTCTGTCCGAAGACCAAGAAGGGCTTGCGCAGACGATCCCGCAGCGTGGGCTTCCCCTTTGCTTCAAACATCCGAGCACAACCGAACGAAAATAATAATAAAATCCATATATATATAAAAAAAAAAAAAGGGGGAAAAAAAAAACAACCAGCAAACCAACAAACCAAAAGGTGATCGTGTTGCTGATGTCCCATCAGTAGCCGAGGATCCGAGCCAGCCCCCCCGGGGTCCCAGCGGCGTCCCCACCATCACTAACACACCGAACAACGCACGGGTACGACAGCAGGAACAACTTTTTTCACCAGTGGACACCTCTGCTCAGCCTGGGCACGGCAAAGTCACGTCCCCACGGACGCTGTGGGGTTGGGGGGTGGGAAAAATTGAAAAAACAACCAAAGAAAAAGCTTTTTTCTTTCCTTTTTTTTTTTTAAAAAAAAAAAAAAACAAACCAAAAAATTGCCACCACCAAAACCATCAGTGGAATTACAATTACAGCAGACGAAAAATACACAACTAGTGTACCGGGAGGGGTCCCCCACCCTTCCAATGCTATTTACTAGTCCATTATTTACATTTTTCACAAGTCTTATGCAGGATGCACCAAAAAAAAAAAAAAAAAATAGAAGTCACAATAAAAAAAGAAGTCCTTTATAGTGCCACCAAAGCGCAGATGGAAAGAACCAGAGAACCAAAAACAAAACAAATAAAAATCAAAATAAACCCCAAAACCCTAAAACCAACCGGAAAAAAACCAAAACTCTCTCCGTGTAGGGCTCCAATGTGTGCCATATTTGCAGACCTCCAAATAAATCCGGGTGTGTTTTTGCAGGCACTGCCCTGCCAGAGATGGCTGCTCCTTGGCTGAGCCCCGGGGGCCCCCCGGGCAGCCCCCCCAGGGCAGCCCCCCCAGGGCAGCCCAGTCCCGCGGGTGCCGGGAGCCGCCAGCCCTGCGACACGATCCGCTGTTAGTAGATGACCTCGTAGACTGTGGCTTTCTTGTCACCAGAGCCCGTGACGATGTACTTGTCATCCGCTGAAATGTCACAACTTAAGACGGACGAGGACTCCTTGGACTGGGGAAAAGGAGGGAGGGGAATGAAAACCCATCAGCTCGGTCTCCTGCCCCCTCGCCAGGCTGCGGCAGCACCCGCGCCGCTGGAACCCCCTCATCCCGCGTGCTGGGTACTGATCCCAACATCCCAATTGGATTGATAGTGGTATCCCAGAATGGTTTGGGCTGGGAGGAAGCTTAAAGCGCATCTAGTCCAATCCCCCTGCCATGGGCAGGGACACCTCCCACCAGCCCAGGCTGCTCCAAGCCCCATCCAACCTGCCCTTCAACCCTGCCAGGGATGGGGCAGCCACAGCTTCCCTGGGCAACCTGGGCCAGGCTCTCACCATCCTCACAGCCAAGAATTACTCCCTCAGATCTCATCTCAATCTCCCCTCTTCCAGCTGGAAACCCTTCCCCCTGCTCCCATCCCTCCCTGTCCTTGTCCCAGGTCCCTCCCCAGCTTTCCTGGAGCCCCTTCAGGCACTGGAAGGTGCTCTAAGGTCTCCCTGGAGCCTTCTCTTCTCCAGGCTGAACACCCCAGCTCTCCCAGCCTGTCCCCAGAGCAGAGCTGCTCCAGCCCTGGGATCATCTCCGTGGCATCCTCTAAAACTTGCAGTCTTCCCCTCCCTAGGTCTGGCAGCCTGCCAAGGGGGACTCAAGGCACTGCCCACCCCCCTGCCCTGCCTGATGAAGATACCTGGAAGATGCTCGCTCCGTAGGGCGTCCTCCAGGCGTTGAGCAGGTTGTCTTTTCCAGTACTCACGAACCATTTACCTGTGCCCAGGAAACACGGCGTCAGCAGCCGAAAGCTGCTGCTGCCCTTCCCCTGTCCCACGGTCAGGATCATTGAAGCCACCAGCCCACCCTGCCCCTGGAGGCTTCCAGCTGCTTATCCTCAGAAATTGGGGATTTTGTAGAATCTGGAACAACTAGCCATTTTCCAGAGATGCCTGTCCCAGCCCCTCTCTGCCGGGATGGATCCCAGTGCTCCCACATCAGCAGACATTGGTTCACCTTTCCATGAGGCCATGCGGCCGTTTCCAACCATGACTGGGATTGTTTTACCAGGAGAATCCTCATCTCCAGCATCCATGGTCTGGACCCTGCTGGAAGCCCCCATGCTCACCCCCACCACCATCCCATGCACCAACTCTCCCTGCCGTGGTCCTCGTGCCATCCTCAGCTGCCACCAAAGGAGCTGGGGAGCCATGCTGAGGGCCAGAGGTTCTCACCACAGTAGGCGAACTTGAGGGAGAGGACACAGCTCTCGTGGAGGTGCAGCTGGTACTTGTCAGGCTTTGTGTGGTGCAGCACTTCCACGTTGCTGCTCTCCATGCCCACTGCCAGCCACTCGCCTGTCGGGCAGTACCCCAGCGAGAAGATCTGTGGGGGGGGAAGACAGAGAGGGGCTCAGAGGGGTTTGCACCCTTTGGGTCATCCCCATCAGGGAGAGATCACCTGGGCAACAGCAGAGCTGGGGCTGACCCCATGGCTT